TTTTTGTATATTGAAGCCAGTTAAATGGTCAATATTTAGCTCATTACCTTGCTCCATACAAACTTTACAAAGCTAATGAATAGACTTATCAATAATTGATTACCCAAAAATCCCTAAGTGGTAAACACCACCTTGGCCTGTGGGCCATTATTGAAGGCAATAAGTGCCCTTTTTAGCCATCAATTATGATCCATATACTGTTATTGCTAGTAGGCTAATTGCAACATAAAAAATAACACTTCAAAAAAGACAAAAAAGTTGAAAAAATCAAATAAATCAAAAAAATCATGAAAAAATCAAAAAAATCATTGATTTTTTATTTTTTTTGATTTAAAAAAAAAAATCAAAAAAATCACCAACCCTGAAAGTCCACCATCTCATGTGAGGCACAGTGCAGAGCATGTTAGTAGTAATTAACCTGGGATGAAATATGCATATATTTATCAATAAATCATTTACATTACTTATCATTGATTATGCTGTCTAGTAGCAGCAGTCGTAACATGCCTGCTCTTTATTGCGTCTTATAACTGACTTTTTGCCCACAGTTGCACAAATTCTGAGCTCTATCCTGTCAAGAGGCGACCTTGGACGGGTCTCCAGAGCCCCTTCAACTTCAAAAAAGAAGAATCTGGAGAATGGAAGAGTGGAAAAACTTTTTGTTGAAGATAAAGTTTATTTAAATTCTGTCCTAACTCCTGATTACTCCAATTCAGCATATTCAGAACAGACAGTTATTCCTTCAGAGTTTGTGAAGTTTTTTCTCTGAATCAAATATGATGATTAAGCGTCTATCCTACTGCATATTTTTAATATGTTTATGGATTGGAGGGATGTAAGTTTTCAATTAACTATATTATAGGTAATAAACTTGACAACATTATTAGATTAGGCATAAATATAGTCCATGGGAGTAACCACATTTGTATATACTACAATTTACATTTCTGCATCATTTTTAGAATTTCCTGATAGTTGTACAGTTTCTTCCGTTGAAAAATTATTCAAGTCTTTTAATATAGGTAGTATTGTTATTCATGATTAAGATTCTTTCTGAATTTGCTTTTTGTTGAGAATATTTGCCAACTTCTAACAGGAATTGAAGGAATTATCCACTACTGTAAAATGGGGTTACTTTGACCGGTGGGGTAACTTTGACCACTTTTCGTTTTTTTTAACAAAAACCCCCAAAACTCAAAAACGATTTGACATAGAGAAATTTTGTCAATGGCCATCAAAGGCCTAATACTAAGGCTACATAACACAATAGAAAGATTTAAAAAGTTTGCATATCTAATAGGTTAAAAAATTAATAATGTGACCCACGAAAAAGAGCTATTATTTAAAGCCTGTCGGTGTACCCCCTCCAATTTTTTTATTTTTTGGTAAAATAACTCCAGGTTTTGATGCATTGTAGTAGAACTCTTCTAATTACATATGCAAAAGACAAATTTTAGGAAAGTGTCATAGTTTGCAAATGGGAGGCGCCGCCCCCCAATGGGGGAACTTTGACCACCTAATGGCAGCTGTGAGGGGGTAACATTGACCGGCTTGGAAATTAAGTTAAAATCACCATATGTACCTATATAACATATTTTATGTTTAATACACCTATTAATGTTTTTTTCTTTATGTTTCAGACTCTACAGAGTCTTATATATGGTAATTTTTACTTAATTTCCAAGCCGGTCAATGTTACCCTGTCATGGCTGCCATTCGGTGGTCACATTTCGCCCATTGGGGGGCAGCGCCCCCCATTTGCAAACTATGACACTTTCCTAAAATTTGACATTTGCATATGTAACTAGAAGAGTTCTACTACAATGCACCAAAACCTGGAGTTATTTGGAGTTATTTTACCAAAAAATAAAATTGATTTTACCACCCGGTCTAAGGAACCCCAAGAGCTGGGGTAACAAAGACCATCACTTTTTTTTGAAATTACATCAAAACTATGAGAGGCAGGAGCCAGCAATTTATGGTGAGTAAAGCTAGAGTATAGGCCTGTATTTTGCTTGTTTCAATTTAAGTTTACCTCATCTAGTAAAAAAATGGCATCATTTTGAAAAAAAGTGGTCAAAGTTACCCTATTTTACGGTACCTATTAGGACCTACAAAGCTTCAATCTAAAGCGATTTTTGTCCCCTATCTCTGTCCTCTGACTCCTAACTGGAAAATTGGGCAGAAACCACCTGTGAATTGGACCTGATCTGCAGTCAATCTGGCCAATTTCACCTGTTCCTATGGACCTTTCCCAATTTCTTCGATAAAAAATAGTAAAAATTGCCCATTTTCATGCACAATTTTGAAAATCACTTGTGAAACAATTTTTCTACCTGCAATTTTAGGAAAATTTTGCCTGATATTCCAAATACGCCTTGGCTATCCTCTCAAATCTCAAAAAGGCATAGGATATGTTTACTTCTTGAGGTGAAACTAGAGCTTTCACTTCAAATTTTGATGCTATGAGATGTTATTTAGATGAATTATTTCCTAACTAAATACCTATAAAAAATAATACCATGATTGATCAACAAAATTTAGAATTATATAATCCAAAATGATTGGAGCTGAAATATTTCAGTTAATGCTTGACTAGAGTTAATGTTTTAGACAATGTTTGGACTTTTAAAATCTTACATTTTTCATGCTATGAACAACAAATTTTAAAGTGCAATCTTCCTCTTTGAGGCTTGTGTTTTATGTGAACTCTTCCATTTACTCTTGGATCTGTCAAACTGAAAATTCCAATTTGCAGATACTATGGTACCGGTACTCGAAATTCTTTTCCACCTATTGATAATAAAGTGATCCGCTTGAGCTGCAAGATTTTTATTTAAACATAAAATATTTCTTTGCAAGCTTAAGATTTTTAATGAAAAATTTGCATATATGCTTGACAAATTTCTCCTTCAGAATTTCTCTGTTATATGTATATACATATCATAAAATTATTAAAACATTTTCCCAGGTCAGTTACTGCTGTGTTGTGGAGTGCCTGCGTTACCTTGACGGTCACCTACATCATACTGCCCCTGCTCTACAAAACCTGTCCTTCATTTTCACGGCATCTTATATTCCTAAATTATGGTTTGACTTATTTTAGTTTTCAAAATTTAAGTTTGATTGATGTGTCTGTTTAATAGAATCAAGAACACATAATAGCCAAGGTTTTGGTGATATCTAATGATGTCTGAAATAACAGAAAGGGTTTTCTAGACATTGTTTAAAAAGTTTGTTCTTTATATGTGACACAAACAACTTCATTCATTGTAGCAGCTTCTATATATGCATTAAAAGATGAATTTCTTTATCCAGATGAACAATTCAGATCTAGATTTTAAAATTGCTTCATGTTTGCTATAATATGAAAAGTTTGTTTGCCATTGTAGATCATTTTTGATTGCTATAAATTTTCCTGGTTCATTTAATTATTTTTAAATTTTTCCTTTTCCGAACAATTTCTTATAAAACAATTTCTTCTTTACTGAACAATTTCTTACGGCAATAATTCTTTTTTAGTGTATTGTCCTTGGGCATATGACTTCAAACATCCATCCAAGAAAGGATTGGAGGGAGTTGACAACTTCTACCTCACAGTCAGGCCTGGTGTTGTACTTGGAGTCTGGTAAGCTGGATAATTCCTGCTCTGTTGCTTGACCTTTGTCTTGTTACTCCAATATATTCAACTCAAACATTGCAAAAAAGTTTATATTCATTCAAATTGTAAGCTGCACAACAGACAGCTCAGAAATTGTGACAATTGCTCCAATTCCTCATGGAATGCAGTTTATAGGATATCACAAAGTGATCTCTGTCCACCATTACAGCCTTGTCCTTTGCACCCTATTTCTCCTTTCATACTGACATGCCCAAATTTGGCACTTGACAAGTGATATTGTCATCATCACACAACCTTCATCTATAGCAGTGATACAAACATGAATGTGAGGTGACACGCAGCTGTAGTGCAAGCGTTCTTATGACAAAAAACCTTAGGAATCCCTGTGTAAAGTTCCTGTGTAGCAACTCACATGTATGGTTTGAGCGTTTTGTTATGACTGCACCATTGCAACTAGAGTGGTAAGAATCTTTAGGTACTATAGCCGTATTTTTATTTTTATAAAGGTTTAACTGAATATCAATAAAATCCCAGCTCAGCGCGTAATACATTATTTCTAAGAGGACATTTATCAGAGGCCATACTTTCAAAACTTGCTACGTGAACGTAAGTACCTACGCTCTATTTTCTTGTCTGTGATTGGTGTATTTTGCTTGAAAGGCCGTCAATGATTGGCTGATGAACTTACGAACTCTTAACTTTTTTGAAAGTATAGGCCCTGTGCACTTTATCTTCATGTATTTGTTTTTGATTGCCAGGCACTTGCTGCCAATGCCTCTGAAGTCAGCTCCCCCCACGTCAGAAGGCCGGCCTCATAACCCCCAACAGCCTGGATGCTGCAGCCACTCTGACTACTACGAGAACGAGCTCAGGGACGGGCGACCAATCATTGTTTACCTCCACGGCAACACCTCCTGCAGGGCACAACCAACACGTGTTGGTCTTTATGAAGTGCTCAGGAAAATGGGATTCCACGTCATCACGTTTGACTACAGAGGCGAGTCTTGACATTTATTCACTAGTATTACACCATTCTTATATTCGACTCTGTACCCATCATCTTCGATTACAAATTTTCTGTAATAAAATTTTTAAAATTAAGGTAAGAACCAGCCTATTTTAGACCCGTGATGGCAATAAATAAGTCTCCCTCTGATAACCCTGGTTGTGGTGCGCAGGATACGCAGACTCGTCGCGCGTGTCGCCGAGCGAGGCGGGCCTCGTGGAAGACGCGCTCCACGTCTACGCGTACGTGAGGCGCGTCGTGGGAGGGCACGCCCCTGTCATCATCTGGGGACACTCGCTCGGCACCGGGGTGAACATACCAACTTGTTCATAGATCAAGCCTATCTTATTCTCTCGCAAAAAATATAATATTTTTGAACGCTGGTTGCGAGACTTAAAACTCAGTTGAGTCTCCACCGCGTACGAGTTAAATATCATGTGTGCGGTGGTGACAAGAGATAGTGAGACGTTGTTCACTTGATGCCTTCCGGAGTAACCAATAATATTCGGTACTTGCACAGCCTTGAGTATTTTGCATCTGTTTATTGAAAGCTTCTAGAATATTTACAAAGAAAATATCCACAAAGAATTTCTGCATCATATTTAATTTAGAAGCTTAGATAGCCTCCCCAGTTGTGAGATCGCGAGCTCTCTTGCCTTAGGATCAGGATAGCACCTTCTGGGTAACTCACTTCAACTTTTTCATCATTTAAAATTACGTTATTTTTATCCATAATAATTTCTAACCAATTCATTAGAACTATTTGAAGTTTTTAAATAACATGACACCGCAGAACTACCCATGACTCAGAATTTTTTTTTTTTTAGTATGGCCCCTGGCCCCATCACCTGACATTACGGCCCCTGGCCCCATCACCTGACAGTACGGCCCCTGGCCCCATCAGTTGACAGTACAGTCATCTGAGTTGACAGTACCGTCATCTGAGTTGACAGTACCGTCATCTGAGTTGACAGTACCGTCTAATGACAGGTTTCCTCGCACGCGGTACGGCAGCTGTGCGCGCAGCAGCAGGCCCCCGACGCGCTGGTGCTCGAGTCTCCCTTCAACAACATCAGGGACGAAGTCCGGGAACATCCTCTCTCTGCTGTGCGCATCACGCTTATTATCGCCTTAATTTACTATATGCATTAAAATATACATGTTGATAATATATACAAAATGTATATTGACAATATTTACAATATGCATATTGACAATATTTACAATATTCATTTTGATCGTTCATTGTACTTCCTACGACCTTAATTTTAAACATGCATTTTACTGTGTGAATTTTATATTATAATTATAGTGCGAATAATTTGTCTCGGATCTTTTTATGTTACGTAGATTTCTTCTACGGCTAGTAAAGAAATGAAGTCGCATGACATGGTAATCCCGAAGCTTTACTCCGTAGACAAACTCTGCAGGCTTTCCTCGCCGCTGTTCCCGAGCTGTTCCACTAAAGTTCTCCCCTGCGGCAGGTGTTCCGCAAGATGCCGCTGTTCGAATGGCTGTTCCTGGAGCCCCTGGATCAAGCTGGCCTGCGCTTCACAAGCGACGTGCATTTAGAGCACGTAAACGTGCCCGTGTTGATCCTGCACGCAGAAGACGACCTCGTGGTTCCCTTCAAGCTGGGGCGTCGTCTCTACGACCACGCCGTCAAGCACCGACCTGACCATTTCCCCACCGTCAGGTTCATGCCTTTTGCTGCCCGGCACGGCCTAGGCCACAAGTTCATCTACCAGTCGCCTAAACTTCCCGATATTTTCAGGTGAGCTCATCAGAATACGCAGATCTTTTTTAGGTGTGCAGTTTGAGGGGAGCATGTCGGTTGCGGAAAACTTCTTTCGGATCACTTTGAAAAACTTGGTACACATATGTAAAACAGGAATCGAAGAACTTTTTGTTCATGTCAATTTTTCGAAAAAAATGAAAGAAACCTTAAAATTCATAAAAAACGGCCAAAAAGGGGTACTTTAGAAAAATGAATGCATCATACAATTTACGTGCCACAACATTAACCAGGCATATCATTCGATTGGTAAAGACAATATCTAGCAATTCTCGAGCCACTTTTTCAATTTTTGTCTTGGTTTTCTTCTTATGATGATTTTTCTGAAAAATTTCGATTTTTCGAAATTTCCCCCAATTCCCCCCCCCCATTTTGCAATATATAATTCAAACTACAACGAAAAAGATGGCTCTACAATCGCTAGATCTTTTTATTACGAATTGAATGGTATATGTCTCATCGCTGTAGCTTCAAAACTCTAGGAGGAGGTAGGTTTGCCGTGATATAAAGTGTAAATGTTCTGAAAAGCGCGACAAAGTCCCGCGCGCATCGCAATAGGCACTCAATGTAGCAAAGATACAAAACTAAGCGTTACTGGAGCTTGATTCCAGTCAAGGATGGTGGGAGCGACTGCATGTACAACTCCCCGTTCAACGACAGGAGGGTGACTGAGCTGCAGTCCGAGTAGAGACTCTATTTATATGCTCGGCAGCGAATTTCCTCCAATCTTATTTCTTAAAGACCCTCACCCCCTCCCTTGCGGGATCTGTCCTGAACGCATAAAACAACGTACAGAGATGGTTTTGGTACCGTTGGATAGCTCAGAATGTCAGCTTTAAGATGAGACTAAAAACTGGAAAAGCCAAAACGGTCGACTTGGACCGACAACGACATGCTCCCCTTAAGAGTTGAGAATCACTACGTATATTTTCAGGTGTGCACATCAGAATATTCTGATCTTTTTTAGGTGTGCAGTTGAAGAGTTGAGAATCACTATATTTTCAGGCAAGGAGATGAGAATATTCAGATATTGCAATGTTATGTCACCCGTTTCTTGTGTGTCGGAAATGCAAATTCCCCCACAAAATAGTATAATGAAATCACTGAAGTTGATGAAAACTGCATGTCATTTTATTTCACCAGCGGAAGGAAATTCATGCAATCAACCTGTATACTCAGTATTATTTTCGTAAATTACGTAGGGTACGTAGAATAGCTCAAATTGCGATTTTATGTTCTGTTATATCCAATTTCCATTGGAGCATACCCATACAATATTCTCTTTACTTCCAATTCAATCTTGGATTTCTTTAGATTTTCTTCCAATGAAATGAAATCTAACATTGTCACTTCAATTTTAACTCCCAGCTTAACATATATTCTTGAAATGTTTTCTTGCCCTACAGACAATTCCTGGAAGACGTGAGTATCTTATAAGCATCGCCCTGAAACTTCACGTCTGCAACATCTTACTTCAACATCACCCGCGCCTGACGCCTGCGTTAACATCTTACTTCAACATCACCCGCGTCTGACGCCTGCAACATCTTACTTCAACATCACCCGCGCCTGACGCCTGCGTTAACATCTTACTTCAACATCACCCGCGCCTGACGCCTGCGTTAACATCTTACATAAATTTCACGTAAAACTATTCAATAGAAATAAAGTCTGCTGCTTTCTCAAAATTCCCATTTGAACCTCATTACTAAGGCAAAGACACAAAATTTTTGTTCCGCGAAAGGTTCATATTTCTTATCAAGCCTTTGCGGTGGCGGCAAAACAATATCAGTATTTTTTTCATATTCAATATTATTTTTTGCAATGTAATAAGATTCTAATGAGAAGTTGCTTAAGTTGTGTTACTTGAGTTTTATTTTCGGTTCAAGAGTTCAAAGCCAAAGTCTATCATTCCACCTAAACTCGAGAACTACATCGAAACATAGTTTGAGTTGTTGTAGTGAAGTTTAAGTAGTTGCAGTGAACAGTTCTTTCATTTATTCGACAATAGTATGAAACAATTTTTCTTTATTCATTCGACAATATCGTTTATTGGAGTGATTATATTAGACATATATGTGGTAAGTGCCGTGTATAGATATTCATACAATTGATGAGTGCCTTCACCGCACAACATTTTTGTAACTCGCGTGTGTCGCTTGGGTTGAATTTTTGTGATAAACAATAGCAAAAAATAACGTAATGTCAGCTGCAGTCAATTTATTGAGTTGTCCCAGCATTTTGAGAAACTCAACGTGCGTTTCATGTTTTGTGAGACACAACCTCTCAACGTGAATGTGAATGTGGAGGCAGTGCAATGCGATGAAAAAATGAACCTCTTAGCAGGGCTGATATGTGACCATGTCACACCGCACAATTAGAATTCCTTAAACCATTCCAATTTTTTACTTGATGCTACTCTACTTTGGTGTCTAATTCACGATTCATTAAGCTAATGACCAGTATAACTTAAACTTTCAATTTAATTTTAATGATCGCTGCATCGTAGAACACATTCATCTAAATAATCCGTACGTTAAACCTAATGATTTCTATATCAATTAAAAGGTTTTCGTGAATTTGTACATAAATCTTTTCAGCGAAGCGTCTGATGTTTTTTATGCTTTCTTAACTTCGATTAAGTGTTTCCCTAAGTCATGTCTCAATTTTATTGCATTTAATTATATTTAAATATTTATTATTTTTAGGCTAGAAGCGTTCTTGCATGAATGACTAAGCAAATTTATGTACGTAGAGCAGCATGACCCGATGTCCAAAGATTTTCCAATTTATTTCAAAGTACAGTTTGTTAAGAAGTTATATTCTTTTTATTATTATTATATGTTTTCTTGAATAAAATCTCAATATAATCAAGTGCAAGAAAATTTCTTGGCACCATCATTTGTGTGCCAGGTTATATTTGGCTAAATATTTAGAATGAGTACTTTTTTGAGTAGTGCAACCTCGAATGTATTCGCATTGTAACAAGGATATTTATTTCTACGCACAACTCGAGCATTTATTCGTATGCTATAGCATTAATATTTTTCTGTTGCTGCCCCAGGTCCCATTCTGTATAGACCCTTGTTCTTAATAGCATCTGAACATTAGAGAGCAGTGATGAACCGCGACCGTTTTGTTCTTTTTTGCGAAAAATTGTCGATAAAGATTAACGTGCTTATCACCGCTCACTTTGTTCGATTACCTGTCACAAGATTGAACTGGCGTGAATGAACTTCTTCATCTCAAAAACTAAAAGAACTTGACACTAAAACTGCATGTGAAGAATTACAAACCGACAATAAATTGGTATATACCGGTAGCTACCTCACATCTCATGATGTATAACATTTTATTCAGATTCTGCCATCGCCCCGTTTTTCCTTTAAGTTAACAAAACTCGTATCGTTGCTACTGATGAAAATGTCTTAAGAGTCCTCGTACTCTGTAGACTCTATAGACTAAGCCTGGGGTTTATTTCTGGCAACGACCGCTTGCGCGGTGGAAACATTTTTAGTTTCACGATTCAAAAAATGTATTTAGTTAAGCTTTTATTGATGCTCCGATGCGACTCCAACACCACAGTAGCACTCACGTCGCACGAATATGCTTGCCGCTAGCTTATAATGTCTTCAGTCTTTTCTAATTTAAGAAGTATAGATAAGAAATTAATTTAAACCTGCTGTCAGTGTTTGTTTTAAGAAAAGTTCATGACATTAGAGTTAATGATGGACCTTCACCCACCAGCAGCACAGGATATCTTGCATTCTTCTCATGTGTTTATGACAGCTCTAAGTCGCGCTTCGAACCGCCGACTCATGCTAATTCACTCTAAACTATCAACACGGCAGTTCGTGAACAGCAGTTTTACTTACAACCTGCCTACTCTAAAAAGAGTGCACTATAATAAGCTATCAACACGAATATACATTCTAAGTGAATGACAGTTCTAAGTCGCGTTTCGACTTACGGGCTCATAACGGTTCTCTTTACCACTCTTTTTACATTTTTTTTAAAGAGTATATCAGGGTTGAGTTTACTGCCAGTGTTGATTAAGTAAACCGTTTTTGTTTTAATGAGATCAAACTAATTTATTTAAGTTAGAAGCGCAATTAATGTATTTAAGTTAATAATTTAAAATTTAATCAAAATGCGTTCCCAGATCGTAAGACTCCCCCAAATTATTGAGAGTCTTATCTTGCTTGTATGTCTGTCATGACTGGCAATAAAACGCTTCTTTTATAGCAATAAGTTCCATAGGACTTCCTCTCAGCACAAGTACTCCTATTGGTCGATAATATTTCTTGAATTACTTGTTACAAAGTAACGCATTTCTGTTTGCATACGTTCAATTAGTATAATAATTTGTATTGCTATAAAGTGATGTTGCTATCGTTCGATGTATACGATTTTTTTATTTGTTTTATCCTTGTTTCTTCTACGCCTTTTTACCCGTTTTTCCCTCCTGTCATGATTAACCTCCAAAATAACATTTGATTTACTCCTGAAATTTCTCAATAATTTAAGAGCTATTCTATTCTCTTTGATTGCTTTTAATTGAGAATTTCAAACTTGTGCAATAGAGAACAAATTCCGCGTGGGCAACGTAGCGCTTCTGATGAAATGTGAAGGCGATTTATGTGCGTCAATGACTTCATAGCTGACGCCACAGCTGCTTAATGTAATGGTGACTTCGTCCTTCAGTCTCGGTATTCTCTGCAGTACTTTCTTAACATTACATGATAGTATTATAATATTACTCCTTACTGTGGATAAATATATATTAATTGTCTCACTCGGAAGATTTCATTCTCACATGGTAAAGCGCTTCAAGTGAAGAAGGTTGCACGCACCAAAAATACGGTCGAATTATAAAATAAAGAACTTAAGCGAGACGCCATGCATATTCATTTCACTTATTATAATGTAGTTTAATAGTTACCGTGTATTTTACTCGGTCTTTCATTGGAATTGGAACTGCATTAGAATTTGTCGAAACGCAAAAGTATCCCGAACCGTCGCCTTATATATCGAATATCGACGAAGATATGCGGAGACTAAGTAGTCTAGCTGATGAGTAATTAATCATACCTAATTAATTTCTAGAGTCTCCGTGTAGTCGGGTGATCAAGGTCACTAAAATCGGAGCAGCGAGTTCGGGGTTTGAAACCCATGACTTGTGAAATTTTTTCCAAAACTGGTAAAGTGGCTGCGTGGTCAAGAATCCGCGAGGGTGGCCTTCGAACGAAGGGCACTAATTGGTAATATATTAAGGAGGATGTGATCGAGTTAATTCTTATGGTCAATGTAGTACTTCTCCACTTATCGTGTGAAAATAGTTCTGCTGTTATTGTGTTCTGGAGGAAATAGTAGTTATTAGAAAGTAGATTTTGAGTCAAGAAAATAACGATCGATTTGTATTAGCTCCCTTCACTTTCAGGCAGTCAACACGAAAAAATACTGAATTCTGGACAATAAACCTTAGTTTTAGTTTCGATTTTACTTGCACAAGATCTGAGAAAACGGAAAAATGAAACGCAGATCTCTGTCATGCGTGAAAAGATTCATTTCTAAAGCCTATAACAAACATGAATAAATGAAGATGGAACAGAATAGCCACTGCGTGTCGCCCTTCAAGTTGCGCATGCACCCATCAGGCGGATTCCTGTGAATTCGCTAGATATTCAGTTTGCATTTACAAAATTAAATTTAGGGATAAGTATTTCGAAGGCGAAAATTCGTTTATTTTCCGTTATTACAACGTATATATTCATGGATTAAAATGACTAATCATTATATTATAACGATCGTAAACAGAGTATGTATATTCCTATCATCACAATGCTGAAAATTTGAACAGAAAAACACCGTTTTCAATTTATTGGAACAATTTTTATTTCAAGCAACAGATTCAGTTGGCCTTGTTTCGATTGATGTTTCCATAAACCTGACGCGTAACTTTATTAATACAAATTCAATATCAATGAATTCAATTTAATTTTAAACCAAATAATGAATTTATATGACGGAATGCAATGGTAAAAATTACTCGAGCTATTAGCATTTTATTCTTCAACATAAACCAGTTTTTAATCAGACAAAGTTATTTCACGATTAGAAGTTAAGGATTATCTCTTAGGTGCATTTGAAGGTGCAGACAAAATACGCATGTATAGTGCGAACGTGCTTTACAGTGCATTATTTAATAATTAAAACTCTCAAATTTTTTATAGCGAGCTGAAAACTTTGAACACATATTGATATATGTTAGTGTTCTAAAGTTTTGGTGAAGTTTTATTTTTATCCTAAGTCAAGTCTACATATAAGGGGAAAATTGTTCGTTTTATTCATATAGACAAATGATTTTTCAGGACGCGTTTTGAGATCGTAGTATATATTATATTAAAGTATGACTGAAAATGTGGATGCTGCGGAACTAAAAAAAATTATATTACACAGGGTACGCAGGTGCGACTGCGGTCAGCCTCAGAGGTTGTATGGCGACAGGCTTGTGAACAAAAACGCTTTTTTCGCTCGCGTTTCCATAATTTTGAGTTGTCTTTATTTTCTTGAAGCCTTGTTCAAGATTTGCGTCGTTCGCCTCATCTCTTTCGTCACAAGGGCATTTCTCGTCGCGGAAAGAGGGAACTTTTCCATCGGAGTCCGCAGTCATGGATACGGAAATTGCTCCTAACTCCCGCTGTTCCTTCAGTGCTGCAAATGATGCCAGTGATGGTGGATGAGGGATAATTTGACTTGCGATTGATGTAAGGTATAAGAAATTTTCATACCTCGCTGCAGTTTGTCGTGAAAGCTCCACTGGATCGCTCGCATGAACACAGATTTCATCGTTTTCTTTTGACTGTTTGGAAAACAGGTCCTCTTTGGTTGAAGTCCATATTTCTCTTCCTTCTTCATCGTAACTGTTTTTTCCTCTGGCTTTAAATTTCCCCCTATCAATTTTGCTACTTGAATTGAGAGTTTTCACTCGTTTTTTCCATGCACCCTGAGTTTGGTTAATGTATGTCTTGGTGCTGCCTCCCGAAGAAGGCAAGGAGGGCAAATTGGCTTTCCGTTTACTAATTTTTTCTTGTATTTTATGCACCCGTTGGTCATTTGGATGATCAATTTCAATTTTTTTACCACCCACATTCGCTTTGACCTGTCGTAAATAAATTCTTGTTAAGTCTATGGCACCTGGGTCCGCCATAGCTGAATTAAGTGGTGTAACTGGCGATGGATCTTGTCGTTCCTCGAGTTCCTTCTCCTTCTGGCTGTCAAACTCGTCTTTTTTGAAGTCGGAATTGATCTCTTCGGTTGAATTTTTAGCTGATACCAATTTCATATTTTGATCCATGGCACTACTTTTCTGTTGAGATTCCGTTATGTGTTTGAAATGATCATCGTCGAGACGCATATTAATCGTCACAGTGGAATCAATGGACGATTTCCCTGCTAACTGAGTTGGAGAGAACGAAAGCCCTCTCGTATTCGATGAGAAACTAGGCGTAGATGTGCTTGATGAGTTCACTTGTGAACATGAGGGATGCGGTAATGGACAAGATGGCTGGGACAGTGAACAAGATGGCAGAGACAGTGAGCAAGATGGCTGCGACAGAGAGCAAGATGGCTGCGACAGCGAACAGGATTGTTGCGGAAGACAGAGTGTTGACTGCGGAAGAGAACTGGGCTGCCGAAGTATACTTGGAGAATCTGGGAGTGAACAAGTCGGCTGCGGCACAGAACACGATTGCGGTGGTAAAGGTAAGGATGCAGGCGGGACTGCAACAAGTAGTCGAGTGTGAGGTAAATTTGAAG